GAGCCTTGTGGCTCGTTTTCTTTTTTTTTTTATAGTTACCGATAGTCAACAATGATTTATATCGTATCTCCTACTTTTTTTACTGTACAGTATTTTTTTTTATTATATATATAATATATACTTATAATATATACATAATATATATATATTAATATATATATATATATAATAATATAATATAATAAAATATATATAAATATAAATATATATAATAATATAATATAATAAAATATAATAAATATATATAATAATATAATATAATATAATATATATATATATTAATTATATACACATATATATAATCATATAATTTAAAAAAAAAGAAAAGTAAAAAGAGCACCGATCGACAATCGCTCATGACCTAAGATATTAATGCGACTTTAAACGCAAAAAGGAAAGAGTCACGAAAGCGCTATCGAAATGCAAAGGCTATCAAGAAGACACAAATCGGTTTTCCTATCTTTGGTTGACAAACAACGCACTACGTCGCTGTCTAAAATAAGTCGGTTACTACGATGAACGTCTGACGAAAAATAATAATTGCGATTTAAATTGGGCCGAGCTAACGAGCTGCGCAACGTGAGCGGTGTCTCTTTTATAGCGTAATCGTCTCGAATTAAGTCACCGCGTCGCTCGCGACAAGGAACTGGAAGGCGGTGAAATTAAATAGGTGTATTACGGGGAACAGTTCGGTAAGCACTGGACTCGTTAGTTACGAGTTTTCTCGGATACGTTAATTAACGGTACACAGAAAGCTGTGCCGCGGCACCGCGCTAACAGCTAGATGAAACTTATTTATACGTTCCTTGCCTGCCGGTCGTTTGTATTAATTATTACACAACGTTCGCACCGGTTCTTATAACGTGGTCATTGTATTGTGTAAACTTGAGAGTGCGGACTACATACCGCGAGCAGGCTGTTTTCTTTTTCTTTAAATAAGTTCGTTATAAAGAACTTATGATCAATTGGAATGAACGAAGTTGGTATACGTAATGCGAACACATTTTTATCGTAGGATCTTTCGGCTGATGAATCAATATAGTCGATTTCTCTACAAAGAAATAATAGATAGCAGCACTTGTGTGTGTGTGTGTGTGTGTGTGTGTGTGTGTGTGTGTGTGTGTGTGTGTGTGTATATTGACC